TAGTGGAGAATTTTTGAGAAGATATGCCCTCTTCAGTGTCCATGCACAACCCTGTGCCTGATCCCATGAGGGCATGCACAAACCCTTTTTTCCTTGTAAATGCTCTGTTTAAAAGTTGCTGTTCGCATAGCTCATACAAGCTTACTGTGTCCAAATTTCTGCCCTTACCCCTTAATCCCTCAATCAGCATATAGAGCGGGGGCTAATATCGAACTCAATTAACTGTTCAGACAGATAATCACTACTTTTTGCAGTGAGAAAGGTGACCTTTAATGACTGGCTGAAATCAAAGCTCACCACAGATTTATGCCTGAAAGTGCACATGCAGAGATAAAAGATAGCTAACTGGGGATGACCACGTAGGACGGTCTTACGTAAACATATCACGAATCAAGTACTTGGTTAAATGGCTCCCTATGTAGTGAGGTAGCCATTTAACCAGTACATTTGATAACAGGTGTACTGGTTCAATGGCATCTTAACAGAGTTTGCAGAGTCTACTTTTAGTCCAAGTTTCTTCTGAGCTCTCTCAGCGCTAACCAGGTTTTTGTATTTGATTCTCCGGCAGCAAATCACAGATCCACTGGATAAGCCCAGCCCTTCTAGTCTGGAAGGGACTCACTCGTCACACTGAGGAGACAGATCTCCTCATCTGAACGCCAAGCACTTCAGGAACCAAGTGTCAGTCTGCTCAGCTGCTCCTCAGGACCACCATAGTCTGCCTGTCCGCCCTCCAACGATCTAAACCTTCTACAGATCAAGCCTCCACAAACGGGAACTCAGATACCATCCCTAACAACCGCAGTGAGTCCAAGTTTACCCTGTATTCAGACAATCGACCAGATTTCCCGCAGTCCTTGAACTCACCACTCTGATCTCCTCCTAGAGCTTCCGGTTCACCTGACCGCAGGAACCTCCCCAAGCTGAAGAACTGTTTTTCCCTAGTCTCTGTACAGTTATCCTTCAATAAACTGTCTCTGTGAGGGCAATGTGGGTCAAACACATTAGACCCATCATGACAGTGATCAAGCAGCCAGTTATGTGCAAATTTTGATAGTTACATGTATAAAATAAGATTTAAATACATAAATAAATGAAAAGCATGACTGCAAAGTAAACTTTTTTCAACATAAAGTTATAAAACCAATATTTCAGAAGGAAATCAATATTTTTCATGCATATACAGTACTTACTGAATGCTCACCTGAGCTCCAATAGCTCCAGTTACTCGCAGTGAGCAAATAAGAGCAGCAAAGCTCTCATAAGAATATCCCTTGGGTAAAAAGTAAAGAACAGTACAAGGACTCCTAAAAGTACATTTCTTTGTAAGTTACTCAAGTGTTAGGTTTAAACACCAAGCACCTTATTCAGCAACCTGCACGAAGAATGACACAGAGAATTGAGTATATTTTACTTGCAAGGAGAGGGGATCAGAAACTGCATTCAGTTACAACTTCAAACCCACTCTGAAGCAGTATCTGCTCTCCAAGCCCTTTATTGAAAAAACGCCCTGATTACAATGTGGTTTCAACCGCTAAAGGGGGAGGGAACAGAACCCAGTTGAAACCAGAATTTTCGTACAACATCATACAACATCATACAACATCATAGGATAAGGAGAACCCCTCTCCTTATCTAGTTGCACAGTTCTCCATTCTCCTCCACACCCTTAACGACATCTGTTAACAGCAGTCGCAGTCAGCATCCCTCCTGCACAGACTTAAAAAACATTAATGACACAGCAAACAAAACTAAATGTTTTAACACTCTTTGTAATATGAGTAAGATAGAGATAACAAAATGTGTAAGTATAATATGATTAAAGTAATATGATTAAAGTAGAATAACTTATGTACAATTAATTAACCCAACATTTCCCTCCTGTTTATTCACTTTAAGCTATTTATTTTATCATTCAATAGTTACTTCTTTTCAGATTTTCAACTAAGAAATCATTCTTTTTTTTTTTTTTGCTGTAAAGGGTACACTCAGAGGTACTTTAAACTGGTGGGTTATTGTCGTTGGGATTAGGATAAAAGTCAGGAAAGTGTAAAGAGAATTCATCCTCTTCGCTGTCTTCATCATCCGATGGGTGTTCCTCAGTGGACATAAGGGCATACATTTCTGTTTTCATGGGTTGTATTGCAGTGGTAATTAGTCTATTTAGCAGCGCTCTAATACATGGAATACAACAACATCCACATAAGGTCAGGATGGCGGCAAATATAGCTACAGACATCAAAATAGAAAGTACCAGTTGTTTGTATTTACCAAAAATGTCTCCAGATCCATCCCACATTTTTGTGTCAACTCCAGAATGGTCTTTCATTTTGCTGTTAAGAGAGCGAAGGCCTTCAAGGGCCTTTGTGAGGCTGCCATCTGCAGCGGTGTTGTTGGGAATAAAGGTGCAACACTGATCTCCAAAAATAGAGCACACACCACCTTTTTCAGCTAACAACATGTCAACAGCAATACGGTTCTGGAAAGCCATCAGAGAGGTAGCTGACAATTGTTCATGGATGGCGGAGAAGCCTTGTTCTGTTTTATTTCCCAGCCTCTGGACGTTATAGTGGATGTAATTGATCCTGTCTACATTTTTATTTATAGTATACCACCAGCATAAGAAAGATTCAAATCCTGCAGAAACTTGATTCACTAGTTTATACTCATCTGGAACACCTCTGGGTACTCCAATACTGTCAATATAAGTAGGGTCATCTGGACTCCACGCATTTTCAGATGCCCTCCTTCTTCTAGTATGCCATGTGTGAGGAAAAATTCTGTTTACAGTCGTTAACAATTCATCCATTGTGAGTGAAGTAATAGAAACAGGTAAAATCAAGGTGACTGCAGCACACAATCCAGTGGTGTTGCATGGAAGTCTGTCAAACAATCTGTCATCTCCACACCATCCAAAGATGGATACCAGTAAAATGCTTGCACATTGTGTTTCATTTAGTGTACCCAATTTTGGGCCCACTCCGGTCCTGTTTACACAGGTGAAATTTGCCACAGCCACTTTCTTCAAAAAGATTGGTTTTTTCTTCTCATCTGTGGTCAGGGGATAGATCTTATCCCAATAGGTGCAATTATCAGTTGGAACTGTATAATTCATTATATTTAGAAGACATTGAGGAGTTATGGCAGCAGGAACCACACGTAACAGCGGTCTGGCTCCCATACACACAAGACAATCATTAGACACTGTTTTAGCTGCTTGTTCTGCCATTAAAAGCCAGTTGTTTGTTTGCCCAGAGATTCCAGTGGTGACTTGAAACAATTCATCCGTTTTAAGCGGGTCATTAATATTTTGAATTTTTATCTGTTCACCTTGGGCAGAAGTAAGAATCCCTTGTATCTCATTTTCTTCTTGTGTAACATTTGCAGAGCACAGATACAATGTCCAACATAGATCGGTTTCACTAGACCGTGCACATATAAATGAGGAAGAACAGCCTTCCTTCTCAAGAGGTTCTGCTGTGGAGTTTATTGTCATAGTGAAAACTTTGGAGGCATGGTTAACAGTGAACCCTGATATTCTACTCATCCATTTCTTAGCTAAAGATGTCCATCCATATGATCCTTTTTTCCACCGTCCAGTGGTTCTGAAAACGTCTCCCCAACCATTATGAGTTCTTTGAACTACACGGGGATATAGGTAGAAATCATAACCTCGCCAATCTCCCGGGTCAATTTTAAATCTTTGCGAGAATGTTTGAAAAGGAATAGTCACCAAACTGATTACTCTAGTAGAGTTATAGCAGAGATAGACGTCCCTTTTACAAATAGCTGGATCATGAGGGCAACAAGAATCCTTGCCCTGAGTGAGAGCTAAAGACAAAACTAATATGAAAAGTTGCAACATTATCTAGGTTCAAACTTCAAAAAGTTTCCTATGGGTAATCTTTTACACAGTGGTCTACTTCCTCCTGATAAAACACAGTGGATTCTTTACTTTTATTCTTTTTACTTTTTATGACTTTCTCTGCATGCAGGGCGTGATTTATATAATTTTGAAGTGTTCCACCACTCATCTCTATGTGGTGACGATTTACCCATTTTTGAATTATACATTCTTCCACATCTTGCTTTGGAGAGGGAATTCCTTCTACTGTTTTTCTTTGTCTCTCCTCTCTCCCTCTCTTAACTCCACGCTCTCCCTCTTCTCTCTGTCCTGCTAATTTCATCCAGACCATGGTTTGCATGTAACCTTCTTTTGCCATCAAAGTGTCTTTATTTTTGTTTTTTGTTTTTATTTTTTGTTGCAATTCCTTTATGTTTGTGGTGCTCAATTTACCATTAAAACCGTAGTTTTTTATCCAGTAACACAACAGCTCTACCGCCGATGGGTCATCATTTTCAACTGCTTTCTAGTCTTTACACTGGAGTTCCTCCAATAACTTCTGTTTTTCTTTACTTTGCCCCTTTCCCATTTTGAACTAAATTTGGGCCCAGTGGGTTTTCAACACCTGTCGTGTTCTAAACACTGGGGCTTCAGACAAGATGGTGATCAACGACTTTTTGTGGTAAAACTCACTTCAACCTTTACAGGTGGAGTTTTCTTGTCTACAAACATCCACAAAAGCTCACCATTTAACCCTTGTCTTTTTGGTATGAAATACAGATATCTAGTGATATCTATATTTCCTTTCACACACACACACTCACACTGCGCAGTTAACTTTTACTTTATTTTAAACACAGAGGACGCCGCCATCCTACGCAGAATTTAACTAGTTTACAACTCGGGGAGCCTGCCCTTACAAACTAGGGGAGCCTGCCCTCCCGCGGACTTTAACTGTTTTAAAATTTCTGTTTTACCTGATAGAGTCTAGAATTGTCAGGGTTTTAGCACAACAGGGGGACCTCGTCACCCCACGCGGAATTTAACTATTAAAAATAGAGGACACCGCCGTCCTTCACGAGGTTTAAACTGTTTGCTGTTTTTTCTCTCACGGTTCTCACTCACTCCTTATTAAAGGAAAAAACTACTCACAATTCTCTGCGTCCTTGAAATGCTTCAACCGTCGGACCCCAGCCTGTAAGGGAGAGACCAGTCCCGTAAAGGGTCTATTTGCTGCGGCCGCAGGCTTATCTGGGTCTCGCTTACCTGCTGGGAATCGTCAGGTGTCTTGCAATCCGGCTCGAAGGACCAATTAATGTTAGGTTTAAACACCAAACACCTTATTCAGCAACCTGCACGAAGAATGACACAGAGAATTGAGTATATTTTACTTGCAAGGAGAGGGGATCAGAAACTGCATTCAGTTACAACTTCAAACCCACTCTGAAGCAGTATCTGCTCTCCAAGCCCTTTATTGAAAAAACGCCCTGATTACAATGTGGTTTCAACCGCTAAAGGGGGAGGGAACAGAACCCAGTTGAAACCAGAATTTTCGTACAACATCATACAACATCATACAACATCATAGGATAAGGAGAACCCCTCTCCTTATCTAGTTGCACAGTTCTCCATTCTCCTCCACACCCTTAACGACATCTGTTAACAGCAGTCGCAGTCAGCATCCCTCCTGCACAGACTTAAAAAACATTAATGACACAGCAAACAAAACTAAATGTTTTAACACTCTTTGTAATATGAGTAAGATAGAGATAACAAAATGTGTAAGTATAATATGATTAAAGTAATATGATTAAAGTAGAATAACTTATGTACAATTAATTAACCCAACATCAAGTCAATGTAATTAGTTACTAAGCAGCTGTGCATGTTTCTTATACTGACATGGAGATACAGTAGTTTATTTAAAGCTCTAAATCCCCAAATGATGGTGACACCATTTCTGCTGCCCACAGACTGGTTCTGCAGGTCAAACTGTTCATTCAGCCCATTGGCCTGACCAGACAAGCTGAGGGGAAAATTATCCCTGTCAGACAAAATGCTGATAGATGTTCCACATCTCTGTCTGCTGCTGGTTCCTGCATGTAAATCTGTTCTGTTGTTGATGGAAATGTAACGACTCCCTCTGGTGTTGTGCTACTTGTTAGCATTCATTAGCATGCAGCAGTTTAATCATCTTGTTTGTCTCTGAAAGGCCTCATGAATAAAGAAGATTTATCAAAGCTCCTTACAGACGCTCACTAACTGACAGGAGTTTTTACATTGTTGGGTTTCTTTTAGAGTTTGTGAGACACAAAGAAGCCGAATCTTTAAGAAAAACAGAAAAAGCACCAGTTGTTGGACCGGTGTGATCCCTGGTTGGTCTTATAAAGCATTTTGTGAAGTTTATGTCAACGAGCAGAAGGTTTAAGTCTCCCAAAGTCTGTTTTTCAGGTGAATTTATTTAAAATACTTAATGACAGACTGCACTGGTCTTTTGATTCATGAAGACCTCACATTTCCTAATATAAATCAGAGGAATTGATATTTTAATTGATGGCTTTGTTCATGATGCAGGTTAAAATGTCTGGACTCTTTGAATAATATTGATCTAGTTATTTTATATGTCTTTCTGTTATCTTAGTAAATTCTTTGTTTACATAATTCCTCTGCAAGTGCCTCAGTGCTCAGTGCTTGGATGAAATCTCTTCGCATTTCTGCTTTACTAGTTTGTCAGAGAGGCTGGTTGTGCTTCTGTGGTGCAGTGGTTAGCTTGCACGACTCATCTGCAGAGGCCTTAGTCCTTACGGATCCCAAACCCAGGTTCAAATCCAACCTGTGGTCTTTTGCTGTCCTCTTTCATATCCCCTTTCCTGTCAGCCTACTGTCAAAAAAACTAATCCTGTAAAAACTCAAATAAAAGATAGACCTAAGTATTGCTATAATGATGATACCTATATTAAAATATAAATCCTAATTAACCCAGTCAGGTCTTACATACTGTAAGTGTAATTGGAAAATGTCTTTTAAAAAGGCTTTTTATTTGACTCCTGAACCCTGTTTTTCTTAATTTACTTTGGGTCAGAAGTTCCAACAATGTTTGGCGGATGTGACTTCAAGTGTGTCCATATTTAATAGGTCGGACCTACAAACAATCAAAGGGTTAAATTCAAGGTGGATTTTGTGGATACTCAGAATAGATGGACATCCAACATAACTCTATTTTATCAGGTCATCCTAAAAGCTATCTGAAAGTACTATAACCTTTACAACTATAGAAGTCTAATATTTTGGACTCTGATGTTAAGGAAGTCTGTAATGTGGTTAATTTGATGTACTGTGGTAATCTTTCCTCTCTAGAGTAATAGTATCTCAATCCTTCACATCTTCAAACTTTCGTTTGAAGCATTTTGTGTAAATTGATTTAATAATTACTCAGTTTTCTATTTTTTTATTCTGATTTCCCTTCATCAAAGGAATTAAATAATCATATTTCTGCAAACAAACACAAGTTTCAGAAGTTTTTTTGTTCTTTTGTTTTGAACAGTTTATGCATCATAAATTTATAATTTTCAGTCTGACAGCACAGCGCTTAGATCCTTGTGACTGACAGAAAATCAAATCTACTGATGTTTGATTGATCGCTGAGATGAAAGAGACCCAAAAAGTTTGGTGCATATTTAAATGTATTTAAATCTGTTCCTTCTTTTCAATCTTTCTGCCCAGAAAACGCACAGATTGAGTTATTAATACATCAAAAAGCTCTAAAGTCTTTTTGGCATCTCAACAGTTTTTAATAGAATGGAGGACGCTAACATAAGATGCTGATTTTTGATAAACTGCTATTTTTTTTCTGTATGTTTTTTGCTTATTTAGTCAAACTTTAAATAAAAAGTTCCTAAAAATCTACAAGGAATTGAGTTTATGTTAAATCCAGATTTTCAGATAGACTTTAATGTTAAAATCGACCAAATTTGAAGGAGACCCAGGCGTGTAAAAGTGCTCAGAGTGATCCAAACAATCAATTCTCTGTAAATCAACTGCTTTTTTTCTTTTAAAAAATAGCACAAACAAAATTAAATTAAAAAACTATTTCAATAAAACATAAATTTTTCACTTATTTTGATCAATTCTGTCTTTATATATACCTATATATTATTGATGTATTTTATTTTAAATAGCTGTTTGTCTGAAATGCTCAAATTTAATGATTTAAACAAGTATATATATTGTCAATGTTCAAGTAATTAATCTTATTATATTTAGATGCAAAGATAGAATTGAAATAAAAACATGCTTAGAAAAATTAAAAATTTGAACATTTTCTATAGACAGATAAACAACAGAAGGATTTCAGTCTGAACATACTGGACCAAAGAGAAGTTTATCTTTTATTTCTGTAATTTAACTTCTCAGTTAAAATATCTGCTAATTAATTTCAGAAAAGCTTGGAAAGACTTTACTTTTGAATTGATGGTGTATCTTTTCACATTAGTGGTGCTTAATATGGCTGAGAACAATCAGAATTATAGTACTATGTTTTATTTTTAAAATTCATTAAAATGCAGAATTTTCTCCTCTCTTCAGGATTTCCTTTAAAGTGTTTTTACATTTTTTTTTCTGATTCATTGAGAATTTATTTATTTTAAACAAAAAAAACAACAGTAATAATTACTTTATGACACCTCTGAAGACATAGTGGGCTTTGACACAAGCTCAGTGAAACAAAAGTCTGTTTTTTCTTACAGGTTTTGAAGAAGTGGAGCATTTAGCAGGAAACTGCGGGATATTTCCCTTTTGCAATGTCTTGCCTCCATATTACCCATGGGCCAATTAGAAAGGAGACAGACTTTTACAAGCTCTCTGATTGGATGAGAGTAAAGGACAGACCTTTGGAAACAGGAGAAAGAGAACAAATATGGATTTTGGTGTTGAATTCTGTCATTCATCAAAAGCAGGGAAGGAAATCAGAAAATCAACTATTTGAAGTTCCTTTGGTTGTTCTTCTTCTAACTTTCCCCTGGAAGTTGGAATCGTCTGTTTCTGCATTTGGACCAGGGAGGACAGAGATCTTCTCTGGAGGAAGATCTCAGATTAAAAGTTTCTTTAACTATTGATAGGGAGCTGCATATTTCTGAATGCTTCTCCTTCTCTCTCCTCTCTCTGAATATTGGGACACACCTGAGATGAGAATCTGCAGTTGGCTCTGGGGAACCACCTTCAGCGTGATGCTCCTCATCCTTCCTGGAACAGCTCAGTACGAGGATGGGAGTTTGGTTCCAGGGCGAGGCTCCTGCCAGCCCATCTCCATCCCCTTCTGCACAGACATCGCCTACAACCAGACCATCATGCCCAACCTGCTGGGTCACTCCAACCAGGAAGAAGCCGGCCTGGAGGTCCACCAGTTTTACCCACTGGTCCAAACCCAGTGCTCTGCAGAGCTGCAGTTCTTCCTGTGCACCATGTATGCCCCGGTGTGTACAGTGCTGGAGCGGGCCATCCCGCCCTGCAGGTCTCTATGTGAGCAGGCTCGGCAGGGCTGTGAGGAGCTCATGAACAAGTTTGGCTTCCAGTGGCCCGACAGGCTGCGCTGCCAGAACTTCCCTCTCCATGGAGCTGGAGAGATCTGTGTGGGTCAGAACACGAGTGATGCTGAAGGCTCTGCCTCCGAGCTTATCCCGGCCACAGTCCCTCCCCTTATATGGAGCGACCGTCCATTCTCCTGCCCCGTGCAGCTTCAGGTGCCCCCCTACCTCGGGTACTACTTCCTTGGGGCCAAGAACTGTGGTGCCCCCTGTGAGCCGTCCAAACCAGGTGGACTAATGTACTTCAGTGAGCAGCAGGTAAAGTTCAGCCGGCTCTGGGTTGGAACCTGGTCCATTTTGTGCTGCCTCAGCACTCTCTTCACCACACTGACCTATTTACTGGACAGAGGGAGGTTCCTCTACCCAGAAAGACCCATCATCTTCCTGTCTGGCTGCTACTTCATGGTAGGAATGGCCTACAGCGCCGGCTTCCTGCTGGGGGACAAGGCGGTGTGTGTGGACAGGTTGAAGAAGGACGGCTACAGGATGGTGGTCCAAGGTACGGAGCAGGACGTCTGCACTCTGCTCTTCATTGTCGCCTATTTCTTCAGCATGTCCAGCTCCATGTGGTGGCTCATCCTGTCCTTCAGCTGGTTCCTATCTGCTGGGATGAAGTGGGGCCATGAGGCCATCGAAGCCAACTCTCATTACTTTCACCTGGCAGCCTGGGTGCTTCCAGCGCTGAAGACTATCAGCGTGCTGGCCATGGAGCAGGTGGAGGGCGATCTGCTCAGCGGTGTCTGCTCTGTGGGAATCTACAGTGTGGAAGGGCTGCGAGGCTTCATCCTGGCTCCGCTCTTCATCTACCTCCTCATCGGCGACTCCCTCCTGCTGACCGGCTTCCTGTCATTGTTTCGGGTCCGATCCATCATGAAACATA